ACTGTGGTAAGCCCTGGGGATACAAAGAGAAGCAAAAGGCAGTACCAGCCCTTGAGAACCTCACAACAAGCTATGTATAAGATTAATAGAAAATAATGAACAGAGGGAAGGCTTAATTAGAATTAAGAGGGGTTGAAGGCTTCCTTTAGAAGATGGGATTTTGGGTGGGACTTAAAGGAAGCCAGGAAATCAGTAGTCAGAGCTGAGGAAAGAGGGCATTCCAGCCATTGGAGACAGACAGAGAGAATGCCTGGACCTGAGAGATGAAGTGTCCTGTTTGCAAAACAGCCAGGAAGCTAGTGTCACTGGATCGAAGGATACCTATTCAGGAATAAGGTAGGTGTAAGAAGACTGGAAAGGTGTATGTGAGGGGGAAGGGAGTTATTTGATGAAGGGCTTTGAATGTCAAACAAAGGATTAACAAATTTGTAGTGGACTCAGAGCAGTTGCATGATTGTCTCCGTCTTCATTCAGCGCCATGTGGGATTGACAACATGCAAATAACTGTGTACATGTAAAGTGGTTGTGGGGTGTGCCGGTGACCAGTGAGTGGTGTCCTCTTTTTCCTTCCTTTTTCCTTCCTACTTCCTTTGTCTCTGGAGATGTAATCAATCAGCTACACTCTTTCAGAAATGAGCTCATTTAAGTTTAAGGGCAATATAATAGTTCCTCTGGTCCTTGTGCTTCTCTCTGTAGCTTTAGGGATTTCATAGTAAATCAGATATTAAGAGTATAATCACATTGATCAGAGCCCCCAGTTAGGAAAATTCCTAATACTTAGGAAGAGGTTTGGATCTCTGACTTAATTTAAATCACAGCTTCTTAACCTGGGGTCCATAAGCTCCATTTTTTAAAACTGATCTCTGTAGTTTGATAGAATTGGTTACCTTTGTAATCCTATGTAATTTTTTTATGCACTTAAAAACACTTTTCTGCACAGAAGTGCAGGGGCTTTACTGGCCTGCCAGATGAGTCCAGGACACACAAAAAAATGTTTAAGAACCTCTGATTACTATTTATATTTATCTCTAGTTAATTCCTGGCCTCTTTGTGATTGAGGCAGAATTCTGGGTCTTAAAATTGTTTGAGTAAAACAGGCAGGCAGGTTCTGTTATGATGTCTGTGCAAAGACAATCACAGTGAGGGGAGAGGGAACCTGGAGAAAGATCAGCCCTGTTCTAGGAACTTCCCTCCACCCCTGAAGAGGTGGGCTGCACCTGCTGGTTTCATTCCCCAGTCATCTCATGGATACATATAGGACCCAGTGGCCCTCCTCAAGATCTCTCTTCCATTTTTGCCACAGCCGGCCTACTTTTTCTTTCTCCTTTTACCTTTTGCTTCTCTTCCACCAATTTCCAGCCAGATATATGGATCAGAGGTCCTCACAGCTTCCTCTCCACTGCCAGATCCTAAGATTCACAGGTTCAGAACTGGACTCCTGTTTTATACAAGACCACATAAAATCTCCCTTGCCAATACCCACACACTTAACTTTGTTGCATCATATCACTTTATCCAAAGGTTTTCCAAGATTTCTAAATAAAATCAAGGACTTTTCACATGTAGTATAAAGCATTTTTAAAATTAAATTTAAATTTTTTTACTCAGCAAAAAATCTGCCTTCTCTCCTTCCCTTCCTCCCCAATTGAGAATGAAAGAAAAGTAAAATTCCTTCTCCAAACATGTATAGTCAAGCAAAAGAAATTTCCACCATGGTCATGTCCAAAAGAAGAGAAAGAGACAGAGACAGTGTGTGTGTGTGTGTGTGTGTGTGTGTGTGTGTGTGTGTGATTCTTCATACTTTGAATCTTTCACTTCTCTGTCAGGAGGTGGACATTATGCTTTTTCATTAGTCCTCTGGATTCATGGTTGGTCATTACACTGATCTGAATGCATAAAAGGGAGTTAAATATAAGAAGACTGGAAAGGTAATAAAGGGTCAGGTTGTGAAGGGCTTTAAAAACCAAACAAAAGATTTTCTATTTGATCATCATAGAGTTAATAGGGAGCTACTAACTTTATTGAAGGAAGAGGGTGACATAGTGAGACCTGCACTTTTAGGAAAATCATTTTGGCAGCTGAGAGAACTGAGGCTGGGAGACCAGTTAGAAGGAGGCCAGAACTAGGGTGGTCTCTGTTGGAAGACAGAAGGGGATGTGAGTGAGATGTTGTGAAGGTTAAAATAACAAGAGGTGACAAGTGATTAGCTCTATGAGGTGAGTGAGGAAGGAATCCCCCTCACTGGGCAGTCTCATCATCCTGCAAGATTGAATCAACCTTGGTACTCTCTCATTTCATCAGTATCATCCTTTCTCCCTCTCTGGCTGGACTCTCCATTCAAAGAGGGGACCCAGCACCATCTTCTCCCCATTTCCCACCAGTTGTACTGCTTTAGGATTTCTCTGTCATACATCTCCACCCAGTTCCTTTTCCACCCACCATACTTTTCAGCTTTTTTGTGGGTGTTGTCTTCTCTCATTGGGCTGTCAGTTCTTTCAGGGCAAAGACTGTCTTACTTTTTATTTGTATTTATATAGCACTTAGAGTGCCTGGCATATGGTAGGCCTTAATAAATGTTTATTGACTGAGAAGTCAAGGGTGATACCCTTGAGCCTCAGTGACTTTAAAATTGGCTGTGTTCTCAACAGTAATAGGCAAGTTAGAAGAGAAGAGGGTTCAGGGAGCAATGTGTAGTATTCTGGACACACTGAGTTTGAAATGCCTATGGGACATCTAGTTTGAGATGCCCAAAAAGCAGTTGGGGATATGAAATTGGAGCTCAGAAGAAAGACCAGGGCTGGATATTTAGATCTGGGAATCATTTACATAGACATGCAGATTGAACCAATGAGAGTGGGAGAGAGTACTAATACTCTGAGGAATTGGGGGGCAGGAACAGGAATCAGGAAAGACCTCATTATATGATTATGAATGTGCAGAGGGTCAGTCAAGGAAGAATAAAAGGATAGCTAGGCAGTAGTGAGGGTCCAAATGAGACCAACTTTTGTAAATTTATAGTGAACTGTTTAGCCCACAGTTTGAGTGACTGTCAAGTATGTTACAGTGGACATTCCTTTCAGGTCTAGGTTGTACCGGAGGGTCACCAAGGTCCTTTGCAGCTCTCCAGTTTTATGATTCTGTGACTTTCTTCAGGAGAGTTTGACAGCTCATGACTACAAACCCAGAAGTGGGTGGAAGCTGAAGGACAAAGGAAGGAGGAATTAAAGGATTGCAATAGTGTCTAGTTGAAATGGTTAGCCTTTAGGGCAAGACAGAGAAGGGAGAAAAAGGGTGTTCAACATTAAGAACTAAGAGAGGTAGAGGGACTGGAGGTTGTCATCAGGATGAATGATAAATAGGGTTAGGAGGAGTGAGGAAAAATGGAAGAATAAAATGTTATTATGGTCACATAGAAGAATTACAGAGTTCTGGATAATAGAGGTAAAACAATGACGAGTGATTGCCAGATCCCCTGTGTGTGGCTGAGGTGAAGTGAAGATGGAGGTTATGGGAGTTGAGGAAATGTTCTGGGAGACTGGGACATCAAGGTGTAAGTTGGAGTCACCACTAATGAGGGCGGGGCTAAGTGCAGAGGACGACTGGGAGTCAGGGTTAGAATGCCTTGAGAGAAGATCATGTAGAGCCTGGTAGATGACCGTTGCAGGTTGGTCTGCATGATGGATATGGAGGTATAATAGCTACCCTCAAAGACAAGGAGTGTTTGCTGAATGATGATGGCAAAAGGACAGTCTGGAAGTGGGATCAAGGCATGAAGAGAATGGCCACACTTCTTCCTGGCTCAGGGAAGCCTGAGCGGAGAAGAACCCAGTACAAGAGAGGGTGGCCACGGATCCAGGCCTCTCTCTCTCCTGAGCGAGCTCCCGGTTGTTCATAGCCCAAGGAGATGGAAAGACTGGGAAGAGTCCTAACTAGAGGGGAATCTGTTAGCACCTGTGGCCATTCCAGAGGGCTCAGGTAGACTGTGGATGGGTACAGCTGAGGTAGGCAGCTAGGGATGAGAGGGGGGAGGGTTTGGGCAGACCTTGCATCCAAGTATGACTTTCCAGGGAGAGCCTATAAACTACAAACAGATTGCCCTACCTCTCTTCCCTGCAGCTACTCCTTCGTTACAGCTAGTTAGTGGAGAAGTGGCCCCATGTCATTTGGGGAGACCGTAGTAGAGTACAGTTGATGGTCATTTAAGCTGAAAAATAAAGATTCGGGGCACTGTTGAGAGTTTTTGCTTTCTATTGTCCAGTATAACAGGAGGTTAAAAGAGGAAAAACTATTAAAAATGGGTTTGAGATATTTTCCTGGACATCTTTTATGGAATGAAAAGACTCTCTAATTAGCCTTTAATTAGTCTTTCTTAGCCACAAGATTTACAAAATTAAGCTCTTTTCCTGATGGGGAGGGGGGAAGACAAATGGTTCCTGGCTGCTGTCTCCCTGTTTAGGATGGCTACATTATTCAAATAATGCTGGTCAACTTTTCCTCCCCTCTAATGTCAGCCTTGTGGAATGGGCAAAAGCAAATGGAAATGTGTTTTGCAAACAGTGTCTTTGGAGATTGTAGCTGATGACAGTTGAATGCTTGACGTAGTAATACAATCAGTATTTAACCTTGTGTAACTCTCCCTCATCAAATAATTCCCTCTGCATTGATTGCATTAAAGGAGGCCAGGGGTTTCTCAGTTTGGAACATTTTAAAAGAATCTTCATAGAAAGCTTAACTGATCAGCTGGTGTTTATCTGCATCCTAAGCCATCATCAATAATACAAAAGACTGGGTCTTCAAGTTGAAAGGATGACTTTTTCTTAACAGTCTATATAATAAACAAAGTAGTCAGTCCATGGTACTGTAACAGGAGCCATGTTGTAATGCCTTGAAATTAGGGGTATTATGTGAATCTGACCCCCCCACACACCTTTTAAAAACTTTTTTTCTCTGCTTTCTTTTGAAATGCTCCAAGATTAATTCTGCTTTCTCTCTTCCTCCAGAGGGTGAGACAGGTGTGATGGATAATCTGCTGGAAGCCTTGCAATCAGGTGCTGCCTTCCGAGATCGAAGGAAGCGGATACAGAGAAATCCAGGTAACACCCAGTACGGCCATTGTGCCCTAATACAAGCTCCTCCCCAACATGTCAGAGAACATGTCCTGCATAGAGGCTTTCCCCCATTGGTCTCAGCCAGCGGCCCTCCTTGTGAAAGCTTAGCAGGCTACAACCATGAGATCACAAAGTTTAACAGGTAGTTTCAAAATAAAAAAATCCCAACCCAACCTAGAGAGAGGGTTCACACTGCACTCAGTTCTTCATGTTTTAAATGGTCATTTTCTGCGATTCTATCTTGATGAGAAGGGCAGTTAAAATCAGGAGAATGAAATTGTTAAGTATAATTTGCCATAGAGATGTCACAATAGTGTTTCACAGGTGAGAGGACTGCCGTGCAGCTCCTAGTCTGGTTTTTCTTACGGGCTGATTGAATTTGTAACACACCTGTTAACTTTCAGCTATCCAAAGAGCAGCCCAGGTAAGCTCAGAGGTCAGAAAATCCTCCTACCTTTGATATTTGGCTTTGTGATCTGTTTCTGGTCTGACGTTTGAATGGGGATGTGGGGCTGTACCGACAGGTAGGCACACTTGAAGCTCCCCTTTAAAGACTGGAAACAGGCTCCCCCTTTTCCTTTCTCTAGTCCCTGGTGGAAAGGGGCTTTGGTAGCTCATGGACCATGGATCCAGAATCTCTGTTAAGCTGCCTTTCCTTTCCTTTCCTGACTTAGCTACAGAATAACCAAGCACTTGGATAGAAAAGGCTTCCTTCTGGATTCCCAGCTGCACTGGGATGTAAACGTAAATAGAGTGAATAGTGTCAGCAAAGGGCCTTCTCACCTGCTTTACTTACTAATTAGGTCTACTCAGACAAAATTGCATCAATGTTGGCTTGGTTAGACCACATGTCCAATAATACATTTTTAGATATTGGCACATTGGCTGCAGATGAGTTAAAGACAATAGCAAGTCAGCAAGATAGAAGCAGTAAATATTAAAGCAATTTTTTTCTGTGGAACTGTTGAAAGAAATGATCTGCAATGTCCAGCTGCCCGTAGGAAGCCACCTAAAGCAAAAAGGAACAGGTAATAGGTTGGATATGTTGGCAGAAATCTGAAATGCAGATTTTTCTCTGTGCTTGATAATTAAAGATCACGGCAAGTGGCAGTGGGCATTCTGTTGCTCATCCTTTCTGCCATTAGTATTCTGTCGAGTTAAGTTTGATTCTCTAGTCACGGCATGCTTGCAGTGTAATAGATGCTATGCAGTCTACACCCCAAATGTGCTCTTTTTCCTATTTGAAGTACATTCTCTTGGAAGAAAGTATTAGAATAATTTAGCTTTCTCTTGTCTGAGGTTTCCTGAGTTCTTAAAATTTATTTTAAGTGTTGATGGGAAATTATTTGCCCAAGGGTACCTATGAATATGCTTCCCTGCTAATTGGGTTAGTTTCCCAGAGAAGATTAGTTCTGAGATAAGTTTGGATTGAGGGGAGATGAGTGGTTTGGCAGGTTGGAACGGCATGGAGATAAGAGACAGTAGAAGGTAGTAAAGGAAATTAAATGGTGTCTTGGAATGTACAAATTAATTTTGTTCCCTCCCATCCTTAGTAATAGTACCTTAGCTCGACTGCTATTTCCTGAACTATCATAGTAGAAAGAAACACAGGGAAAAAGAGAGAGTGAAAATTATTTCAGTACCAATCCAGCTCTACCTCATAAAAGGAAAGCTACTTCTCTTATATTTTTATAAGGTATTTTTAATGGCCTAAGGCCATTTGAAAACAAGAGAGAAGGCAGACAGACAGAGACAGAGGGAGAATGTGGTCGAGGCACAAGTAGAGGACATTAGCCCAGGCATGGAAAAGAAGAGGCTCCTCCTCTCAGGCTGGAGCAAAGGAAGAGAGCATAAGTTAAGATGTAGAGGACGTAGAGAGGTATGGCAGGGGAGAACTGAGAACCCTCCTGAAAGAGAATGCCCATGTGCTTATTGAAGTACGAGACAAGGTCATCTGCTGGGAGGTGCTGAAAGGCACATGGGGCCTCTGGAGTGCTAAAGCACTGACTCCTGATCATCTCCATTTTGTTTGTGACTCATTGATGTGGGGGGTTCCACATCCTCCCTTGGCGATTGTCCTTCCTCGAATTTCTTTGCGTCTCAGTCTCCACGCGTCTCTACAGTAGAGTTTTTATTGCTGTTGAATTGCTTTAGCCTGGTGCCTTCTTAGCTCTTGATAACTACTTTGATCACATCTAGATTTTTATGTGTAGTTCTAATCACTTTTTAAAGAGGAATAACATTATGAAAAAAAGAAAATGAAATAAAGAAATAAGTGGGAAGACCTGGATTCAAGTCCCATCTTAGATATGATCTCTGTAACTCTAGGGAAGTCAGTTAACCTCTCTGTACCTCAGTTTCTTCATTTGTACAATGATGGGACGGGACTTGATAACCTCTTACAGTTTGTTCTAGCCCTATACCTGGGATCCTTTGATCCTGAAATCTCCATAGGAGAGCCTCAAGGGACAACTAAGAAGACAATTAAATTTATAGGGTGGAAAAAAGAAAATTCTAGAGATACAATATCTGTGTATGTGTGTGTGTGTGTGTGTGTGTGTGTGTGTGTGTGTGTGTGTGTGTATCAGCAAGGTAACAGCACAAAAAGGTGTAATTTTGTACTTCAGAAGAGACAGAGGCAAGAAACGATATGAGGTAGCAAAGGAAAAAAAGAATTACAGGCTTGGTTGGGATTTGGGGAGAGATGTTGGGTGGATAATGGCACTCCTTGCTTTGCTGAAACCATGAAGCGTGTGCCCTAATTCCAACCCAGCCTGGTGTTTAACAGGTAACTAATGTGAGAAAAACATTTTTCACCACCCTCTCCCAGAAAAATAATTATGAAGATAAATCTGAACATTCTTATTTTGAGAAATAGCTAAGGCCTATGGAAAATGTTTCCTTTTGAATGGAGTCCTTTCGCAATTGAATCTGCTTGTCTTCCTTTTTTCTAGCTCCCTTTAAACGGATTCCATAATATTCTTGGTGACCTCTAAAGTACTCCTTTCATAGCAGCCTTCATTTTCTTGGCATCTTCAAAGTAGATTCTATGTAAAAAAAAATGATTTGAACGATTATTTTCTCTGTGTAATGGTCTAATGTCATTCAGAGAGAATGGAATGCATTCAACTAGAAATTTCCTTCATTTGTAAATGAATGTCCACCTTTTCAATAATGACTAGTTCATGTAGTCCCTGCAGTGACTGTCATTTGGTCCTAAAGTTGCAAGTCTTCTCTTAGGATTTGGGTCATTTAAATCTGATAAAATTGATCATGTGATTTAATAGCCTTATAACATTAGAAAATGAGGGGCAGTGTGGTATAGCAAATAGAGGAGCTGAGCTAGCCTTGAAGTCAACTGGACACAGGTTCAAGTCCTCCCTTACCTGTCTGTCTGACCACAGACCTGGAATGCACTGCGTAAGAAACTCTTAAGAATCTTTTGTTTTTAAGCTCACCTTAAGCTCTACCTTCTTCGCTCATCTCTGCCAGCTGCTGTAGTCTCTCCTTTCCCTAGACCCATCACCTTGTATTTATGTTGTGTATACCTATATGGGTGTATTACATCACCCTATAGAATGGAAACTTGATAACAAGGAATGCTTCTTTTTCTCTTTGCATTCCTAGCACTGGAGCCTGGTGTGTAGTAGGTCCATAATAAACGCTTGTTGATTGACTGGTTGGTATAACCTCTGTGCTCCTGGCAACTTTGTAAGACTCTTAAGTTACAAATAGCCAGCCTACATCAGTGGAGGGAGTTCTCCTGTATCAGGAGTTCTCCTCCCCCCAAGAAAAAAAGTAGAATGAGATTAAATGAGGTAAGATATATAAATTTCTTGGCAAATCTTAAAGCTCTGTATGAATGCTGGTTATCATCATGATCATTATTATTACAATCGTGTCTGTACACACAAAATGTCCAGGCTGTATGTTTAAACCTATGACTGAATTCAGCTTCAATGATCAGTCCAGATGATTGAAATGACCCTCGGCTCACAGGATCTGAGAGTTGGAATAGACCTTAATGGTCATTTCGTCCAAGCTGTATCTAGGGCCATTTACAGTATCTTAGACAAATGGTCATCAAAAACTCCTCTTTACTTAGAACTCAATTCAGTTGAACGCACATTTATTAGGTGAAAGGCATCACCTGCCGTTATAGGAAACGAAGCCATCTTTGGAATGATGATCCATCATTACACTTTTCTTGGCTCAGCTCATACAAACTGTCTGCAGTTGTATCTTATTGTATTGTGTGTAGGTAAGGGTGGTTGCCTGATCCTCAGCAGTTAGGTATAGGAAGAACCCAGTTTATAGGCAAGCTGCACTGCAGACGTATGTGTTGGAAACCCAGAAGTTGTTTTCCCTTTAAAAGAGTGCTAAGGGGCAGCTAGCTAGGTGGCGAAGTACATAGAGCACTGGCCCTGAAGTCAGGAGGACCAGAGTTCAAATCTGGCCTCAGACACATAACACTTACTAGTTGTGTGACTCTGGTCAAGTCAGTTAACCCCAATTGCCTCACCAAAAACAAAACAAAAAAACCCAACAGTGTTATGCATAGCAGTTTGAGTCCAAGGTTAGGCCTCAAAAGCTTTTTTAAAAAATATACAGTTAAAAGTAATAGAAAATACTCTGGTAATGTGAGCAAGTTTTAAAATGAGAAATATATATTTGTTTACATAGATATATACAATAGCTATTTTCAATGTACATTGAAAACTGGTGCTTACGAAAAAGAAGGTTTAATTAGAAGATGAGGAGGTAAATGCCGACTTTAGAGAAATATTCATACCCATGGTCTGTGGTACCTTCCCAGCTTTTAAAGCCCACTGAAATGTAAACACCTTGAAGGCAAGAACTGCTTTGACTTAGCCAACACAGTAGGGAACTGGAGTAGAGGTGGGGAGGGGAAAGGGGAAGAAACATTTCTATGTTGCCCACTCTGTGCTAAGCACTTTGGGGAGCTGTGAATTTAATAGATACTT